TGGACAAGGGGGGGGCCTCAGTAACAACCGAGCGTGTCATGCTCAAATCAGCCAATGCCTGTGACAAGTGATTTTTGAACTTGTGTCATTTGCCGAGAAAAGAGAGCAATTTTTTAGCTGCCTTTGAGAATTTATTGTGAATGCAGGCCGGGGGCTGCGCTATCTTTGCCTCGCGCGTTCTTGGCAGCGCCTCAACAAGCGATTGGCAGGGATTTCTGACCATGTTCAATAAGTGTTGCAGAGTCCTTTTAAATTCGAAGGGGCACTTCGCACCACAGCGAATTTCCCTGGATAGGTGTTTTGATGGTTTAGCAGCCCTACACTGGAGTGAGACTATCTTTACAGACGGTTGTATGCGGATTAATATATACCTATTTGTTCATTGCGAATACTTTGAAATTTTCAATAGTTAAAATCGAATCAAAGCAAATTTAAATACTCTACTCCACTCATACCTCATTATAACGAAGTTGAAGGGGAGCCACAATTATTTTGTTATACCCATTATTTCGTTATATCGATTATAACAGTTTGTGATAATGTATGCTCAGATGGGCGCACACCTATAAGCATGCTAAGAAAGAAACCGCCTCGCGGCCCGATGTACCGCTACGTGACCACGCGTGCCACGGAAAATAAACTCAGTCGAATCTCATTAATTTGAACATGCTTAATTCGAACTTACGGTTAATTCGAACTCACGCTGAGGTCCTGTCACAGCTATGTGTATTCTAATGGACGAAAACGCCCTGTGATTCGAACGCGCAAGCACTTGCGATGGTTCATTCGAACATACAGTGCTCCGAAAATGCTCAGCTCCATGCCCAATCCCGCGGCAGCACCTCTCAACGGCGCGCGCGAAGAAGGAAAAGAAGAAAAGGAAAGAGAAGACTGTAGCGGATTGTTTGCTCTCTCTCAAATTCCAATCTGTGACGCGCCGTCTCTGCGCACAGAGACCCTTCTCATTTCAAGGTCGCGCATGGGGAGAGAGAGAGAGAGAAAAAGCAGTCGCGGAGAGTTCTCGGTGCAGAGAGTAGCAGCCATGGTAGCAGCGGAGACACAGTCATTGCCGTCATGAGAGGGAAATCACTTTGCACTGCAGCGCCGCTTTTCGGTCATGTGACTCGCTGAGCACTTTCTCAATCCTCTCCGCTGGCTGTGTGAGGAGGACGACTTTCTCGGCCGCGTGGGGCGTGGCTGTAAGGTCGGCGCGGGAGTTTTGAAAGAGTCGCACCAAACGAGCATCAAACTCCGCAGAAAACGGTAGACTTAAAACACTACGGTCGTTTATTTTTTTTTATAGACCGCGTAATAGACCAATTTAGTTCGTTATATCCATTTACCGGTCAATTTTACTATGTTACATTGAGGTTTAAAATGCATGGTTCTAGTAGAGCTTTCAAGGGGAATTTCATTTACTTCGTTATATCCATTATTTTGTTATATCCCATTACGTTATAACGAGGTTTGGGTGTATTCAATTGAATATTCAAAGCATTCTAATATTTTCACAAGCCTAATCTACCTTCCTTGCAGAGGTACAAGGTCTTGCCGTGGTGTACTCATTCTCGGCAGTCTGTTGCCGTGTTTAGGGCAAGGCTAGGTGTCACTGCCTGTAATCTTAGCTTTTCGAATACACAATGCCCGGATTACATGAAAAATTTTTGTGGTTCCCTGAAACTCTATACGTGTTGAGGACAGTGGTGAGAGCAGCCTACCCAGGTACTGTCATCGCAGAAAGACCAGCGCATAATGCAATCTCTCCAGGACATCGTTTTCGCGAAGGACCTCCCACTCAGCTACATGCAGCACCTTAATGCTCTTGAGAATGATGAGCGCAAGCTTCGTGTGTACCAATCAAAGCTGACAGACTGCGGATTTTCTACAAAAAAGTATTTTGGAGTTGCACTACCTTATTTGCATGCAATTAAAATGTTTTGACCTTTCTTTTGTCGTTCTTTTCTCAGCCAAATTATAACGATGATCAATTATAATGATGGGATTGCATTGGCCCTTTGATAGCATTATATAGGTGGACTGCTCTGTAGATTCACTCGGAAAAATTAAATGATAAATAAAAAAATACACTCCGAGGGATTGCACTCGATGAACTTGTTCTCAGCCAAATTAACACTCAGATTACAAAAACACTGACAACACAATTAGAGCAAACATGTTCGTCGACCGTCAATGAGTTTATCAGTGGGTGAAACATATTTACATTTACAGTCGAGCCCACATATGACGGCCCCGCTAAAACGAACTTTCGCTTAAAACGAACAACATCACTATGACCGTGAAAATATACGTTGGTTCAATGGAACAAAATCACACTTAACCGAACGTCTCAGAGCGTCACTGGTCGGTTACAGCGAACGGATCGGCGGTCGAAACTGTTTTCCCGGGAAAACAGTTTCGACCACCGATCAGGCATCGGCGAGGTGCCCATACATTCTTATTGTTAAATGCCGACCCTGCCTCCGCGCCCCTTTAGCTGCCACTCTCTCCGACCGCTTTTTGCTACGCACCCCTCCGTCCTTTGTCCCCTCGCTACATCGCCAGACAAAGCCCGTGTTTTCACACTGCCACCGATCTTTCGAAGACTGGTTGGCTATCTACCCTGTTTTTGATCGCTGGTACTAATGTTGGCGTCGCCGGCCTGGAGTGACCAGACCATTTGCCAACATCGTCGGGCACCAACTGTATCCGATAGTCTGCGTCTAGTGCACGCGCGTACGCTACCCCACAGACTCTGATAATCTGCAATTCGTTTCGTTGTTAGGACTTGTTCTCGCTCACTTCGCACTCGGCTGAACATGCCTTCCGCACGTGTGTGGAAGTGCAAAATTGCTGTCAACTTGCGAGAAACGATTCGCGAAATATCGAAGTTCGTGAGGCTAGCAAACCCGCCAGCGCAACAAACAATTTTTTTACCACGACCGCCGATTCTTCGAACACCGCCGCCTGCACCAATTCAGGTGGCCATGCACTCTTTTCAAGTTTTTCTACGTGCGAGTTTCGCGGACCTTTCAAGCAAGCTACCCGACCTGCCTCCTTCACATGTGTTTTGGTTTTCAAGGTTGCCCTCCCGCAGCATCCTCCTCTCTCTTTATCGCAATTCTTTGCCCTTCTCTCGCAGGTCTGCTCACCTCTCTTGATCACAAACCCTTCCTTCGTCTCCACCCCTCCGCGACGTCCGCCACGCTTGCTCGAATTAGTTTCGTTTTCTGACTGGAAACGGGCCCAGAGCTGTTCCACGCGTTCTGGCATGTGTGTCGCGTGTGCGCGTCTTGCTCGCTCTTGGTGTGCGCGTGTGGTCATGATGGTCGACAGGAGGACTAGCATGCTTTTTCGTGCCGCTCAACAAAGTGTCGAAAGTGTGACCGCTTGGCTTGAACGTAATCCACGCGTTAGGTGCCGCGTTAGGTGCCGCGTTGCGGAGCGCTTGCTCATAGCTGTTGACAACCTGGCAGCCTATTTGCTGCTTCGGGCGTCCCGGTTTTCAGCTGTGGAGATGGTGAACATTTCGTGGGCGGCGGTGATGGCTAAATGTGCACGACACTGTTTTCGCGAGGCCGACTTCGGCGACATCAGGCCCGATGCCGAGCCCGAAGCTTCCGAAATGCGGTGGGGATTTGTGGCAGCGCGTCGTCGACTCTGACCTGGGAGAGTGGGTAGGAAATCTGTTGCGATGGTTTAATTACGACCAATGATGATGCCGACACTGCCGAACCGTGCACAGATTAGGGCATAGTGAATGAAGTAGGTAGCGAGAGCGATTTGGAGGAATCGGATTGCGAGAACGACGAAACTTTGGAGCCAGTGCCTCATGCAGCTTATGCCACGGACCTCGGCAAATGAGCACCCTGCCGTTTTAAATGAACTCAAGACCGCCCTTATCGCTTCTGTTCTTCGAAACATGTGCATCATGGACTTTTTGGGGCAAAAAATGTTTGTTTTCACCCGCAACTTTTTTTAAAAGCTGTGTTTCATTTACTACAAACTTCGGGATACAGCGAACGGATGCTGTGTCACGCTCAGGTTCGTTATAAGTGGGCTCAACTGTATACATGCGGCACTATCCCTTACAGTATTATCACTGGTGCTTGCATTATTCGCAAAATAAACTTACCTATTAAAGTCATACATGCAGTCTCATCAGAAAATTTTCAGAGGTGCAAGAACAAAAATATGATTTGGAGCAACCTTGGGAGCATGCGACCACGAAAATGCTGGTTTTGAAAAAGGAAAATTCTAATTGGTCCCAGGTTACGGCTTTTTAAGCACCAAATCTCAAATCTACAGCAGCATAAAAATAAAGGTTACTTTCAGAACAAAAAAATTTTCATACCATTCAACACCAGTGCACTCTGTCACACGTGTGCTCTGCTACTTCAACAGAAGCAATGTGTTGAACCATGGCACTGTGCTAATGATCACAACGTCCACATCGCCATTAGCAACACAAGTCTGAATCTGAAGTGCTCACCATAGTTAATGCGAATAAGACTGCCCATCCATACATTTGTCATTCCAAACCAAATGACAAAGATCAATGAGTCATTACGCCCAGTTGTCCAGTCTCTTTTTCTGATTGATTGATATGTGGGGTTTCACGTCCCAAAACCATCATATGATTATGAGAGACGTCGTAGTGGAGGGCTCCGGAAATTTAGACCACCTGGGGTTCTTTAACGTGCAACCAAATCTGAGCACATGGGCCTACAACATTTCTGCCTCTATCGAAAACGCAGCCACCACAACCGGGATTCGATCCCGCTACCTGCGGGTCAGGAGCCGAGTACCTTAGACACTAGACCACCATGATAGGGCTCTCTTTCTCTGGTGTCTGTGTATGTGTTCCCTAGTAATATGGAAGCATTAAAATTTTCTATTCCCTTAGAGTTTCAATGTATGCTTTGAACAGACAGGTGGTGCTAATACAATGGCAGCAAGAATTTCACGGCCATGGACAGCGCCACCGACCGAATGCCACTCACTTTCTTGAGCAGTACTGATTGGCGGCTAGTCATTTTCTCCAGGTCTTTAGCGTCATCATTGATCCGCTCTTGCCAGTCGCGTTCCTGGCTTTTCCAGTGCTCAAGCTGAGACTGGAGGTCCTTCTGTTCCTTAGTGTTAGCCTCAACCTGCTTCTCGAGTGCTGAAAGAAAGAGAGCACAACTGTTATAACTAAACCTCAGTTGTTCCAACAGAAATTTAATGATCTACACTTTTCATTTTATTTCCTTGAGATTGCAGCATCTCCGAACTTTGAAATTACTTAAGAATTTAAGGGCACAGGGTAGGGCAAAATTTTTAAAAGTATCTCTCTTTTGTTATATTTGGAAGGTGTATTCCTTTGTGCATGTTTTCCATATTCATACTTTTTATCATAAAGTCTTTTTTTTTATAGCTTAAAAACAGCCTTTCCAAAAGCAAGCACAGTGAACATACCTCCCTAACATGCTTTCTTGAATGCGTTCCATGCTTACTGTTCATTTTCAGAAAACTTCCAGCCAGCTGTATAACGAAAATTGTCGGGCAACTTTTGCATACCCAATTTTTACCCTAAGGTAATCTGAGGACGTTATGCTTGTTTCTACTTGTTAGTGTTAGGGCTCCAAACTGAGTCTGTTGAAATGTTTTGTTCCTTACTCTATTAAGCCTATGTTTGCCATGCTTTCCAACATTTTGAAATGCCAAGGCTTAAGAAGGTCTTCAGCGAGCTAGGGATGGTAATATCAATGAATGATTTAAGTTTCATTATTCGATTTGCAGACAGTGTCAACAATGACGAGAAAGTTTCGAAACTAACAGGATGCTTAGGAACTGAGGCAACTGTGATGCCATGGGGAATGTATGATGAGAAAGATGGAGAGGCTCTGTACACTCGGCGACAACTTATCTTGACAGTGAAGCAAAGGCTACAGAGACTGGCCTTCTGCACATTAGTGTTGCTCCGCAAATAGAACGGCAGCTTGCAGCTGATTTCAGTTTTGCCAGCATTGACTTGAGCTGTTTTGGAGCAGATTTTTGGAGCAAGAAAAAGTGCATTTTGGAGCAGCCAAAAATGCGTTTTGGAGCAGAAAAAACGACATTTAGAGTAGCTTAATGCTCACTGCCAAGTAGAACACTGACCGTGTGAAACACACCAGTGAACTGAGGAGGAACTCATTTGAATTAAGAAGTTCTGTGCAATATTGCATGTTTGTAGATGTTTGTATAACATCACAGAATAGTAAGCCAAAGTAATTTTGAACATTCCTGTGCATTTTTTAAAATTGTATGCAACCAACTACGAATTGGTGCAGCATTCTGGCCGCCAGAATAATGTAGGAGAGCAGTTATTATTGAAGAACAAATAAATCACTATGGAATTTTTATTGAAGACTAGCAACACTGTTTCTTTTTTTTTTTTTTGTAATGGCAAAAGAGTTGTATAGTTGGTTGTCTTCTGGCCTGACATCTTGTTAAGGGCTGCAGAGAGTCACGTTTTTCCTTCACCAAGCAAGGACTAGTACTACAGATGCGCTCAAGTATCGATCTAGTATGTGGTGTGACCACGGCGGTCACCCGAAGAGCTTCAGTTTTTAGGGGTTGCGGAAACGCTAATCTACGAGGCTTTCATTGTCTCACAACATTCATAGATGCTTGCGGCAATACCAAGCACGGCTCCAAGCACGTCTAAATCGCATCAAGAAAGCTTACTGACCGCACTCCATATAACCGCGAAGTGCGTGGCCGCGTAAACAGTGCAGCGAGCACGTGATGCATTTGGCGGCGGCGTTCGGTGACGATGCACGAAATGTATCGCACTTTTGAGTGCCGATTCGCGAAACTGCTAGTCGCTGTTCCGAGCAATCTTGGCAGTGGAGGGGTGGTTGACGAGCTTGACTGTGGGGCCTGCTGCCAGATGCATAGAATGCCCGTCCCCAGTTCTGAATGGCTAGCGAGTGATGTGCTTCGTTGCCTGCGAAGAAGCACGTTTCCACGAGTGGACTAGCGCGTTTTTTTTTTTTTAGACCGCAAAGTTAATCTCGTCATCAGCGGAGTTAGACCTGAAGACGACTCCGGTGACATGCCGCGCTTGTAGACAACGTGCCCGTTCGTAGTAATCCGATTGAGTATCCACTTACAGTTCCTAATTAAAGTGTAATTATATCTTAAGTGATCATTGGGCCATCAACACGTCACAAAGTATTGGTTTTCAACAGCCATGTTAAAGTGTCCTTACGACGCACAAGCAGCAAACGACAATCTCCCAGATCGAGCATCGGGCCAATGGCGAGGCGAGCTGTGGCAACACGGCGCCCACAGCCAATCGGGGGCCTTTAAACGACCTTATAACATTTGCTTGTTCAGCCGGGAATATTAAACATGTAGAAATATTCTCCGATGAGCCTAAAAAGCCGGCTCCCAGCCTCGCCATCGCTAAGCTATAACTTTTTTTAAATCGCTCTTTTTTCGACATTTTTCAGAAAGATTTTCACTACCTCCGGAAACCGATTTTCTTTTTTCTTCGCAAGTGGCAAGATTGGAAAGTCACAGGCCACCCCTAACCGCGAGTTGCCGCCAGTGACGCACTGTGCCTGTTTTTTCAATAGTATTTTGTCATTAGGGGCAGCTTTGGCGCATAAAGAATGAAATGTAGCAGGCTTCCCATACTGGCGCATCTATCACATCACTGAGCATGCATTAGTAACACGTTGAAAAAACATATACACGAGAAATGTAAATGGGAGATATGTTTTGATTGTCTAGTGTACAAAGAATTTTTTTCTTGAAGAACAAAACAGTGCTTTTGCAGCCTGCTGATGCCACGATGCCATGTTTACTTTGAAAAACGATGATGCTGAATTCATCACAGAGGACAGGGATAAGCAGATGCTTATGGAACAGTTTGGGTTCAGCCTAAGACGACAAACCTCCATGTGTCAGAAGCTGCTCACTGGCTTTGAAGGGAAGCCTGTCAAGTTTCAGCGCTACGTGATGGACAAACGGGAGAAAAGGGCTACCAACTGGGGTCAAATTGCAATGCCAACCAGATTCCAGTGCGCTTCGACATGCCATTGGCATACATCGTGAACAAAAATGGTGCCAAAGTAGTCAAACTTAGGACAGCGGGCTATGAAAAGCAGCGAAGTACAGTGATGCTGTTCTATACTGCAGACGGACGAAAACATTCATGTTTTTTTCACGGAAGACCAAGTTATGAGCAGTATGAAAAAGAAGTCTTACATTTGGTCAAAAAATATATGCAGAAGCCATTCCACATGCCCTAAATCGTGCAGTGAGAGTATGAGCACTGCTATTTCAGCAAAAGTAGTATTTTGAGCCACCCTACTGAAAAAGTAATGATAACGTCTACATTAGCATTTGCCGCGTCTGACTCTGCAAATTCAACAGTTCACAGCGTTACATTCCAAGTTGTTGCTGTCGCATTTATTGCGACGCCCTTGCGACAAAACTTAACTTTTTTTACGTATTTACTGCCTTTAACCTACCGCTGCATGCCCTCAAAGCTCGTAGGTCGCTATCGCGTCGCCGCGACCACGGTTTTGTGCGCGGCGGTTGCGGTAGTTCATTTTATGCCATCTACGATAGCATCTGCCGCGGTTTTGTCCACAGAGTTTGCAGAAAGCAGTGTTGCTTTCTGCAAACTCTGCTTTCTGCAAAGCCTGAAGCGGATTGAGCTGCTTTTTTGTCAATGCGGCCAGATCACGCACAGAAATTTTGACTTCCAGGAGATTTTCATGACAACCGTACAACCGGAAAAAACGGTCGAAATCCAGGAACCTCCCGGCCGATCCGGGAGACTTGGCTGGTATGCAATATGCTCCAAGCAGTTCTTTTTATTTTATATTTCAGCACATAGGCCCCAGATGAAGATACTTGCCCACAGTTCAGAGAGCCTAATCTTCTCCGAGCGCAGGCTCTCAGAACAGAAAAATAATATTTGGGGGTTAACGTCCCAAAACCCTCATATGATTATGAGGAACACCAGAGTGAAGGGCTCCAACTATTTTGACGATCTCTAATGTGCACTGACATCGCACAATACCTAGCCTCTAGCATGTTGCCTCAACCGAAATGCGACCGCCATAGCCGGGATCGAACATCAGAAAAGAAAATGGTTCAGATTACTTTCAACAGAGAAGCTGAAGCAACTATCTGGACAACGAAGTTTTTCACTGGACAGAGAAAGCTGTGTAAGCACTAACAGTGACAGTGACAGCAAACATTAGCTGCGAACTCATGAGGATGAACCTTCACGCCTCAAGGTTTTTTTACACTCTCAAACCTTGAGTGAAAGTAATGTGCGAAAGTATGAGACCCCAGAATGAAAAGATTATTATTCTGATCCAATGCATGTAGAACAACTTAACAATTTTTTCAAGCGCAAAACAAGCAGAAGTGAAAGTGACAAAGCATGCAGTATCAACCACAATACATGCCACTGTGTCAAGAGATGAAATTCACCTGCAACATCCGAGCACGTTTTATGACGAATTTTAGCAAAGCTGAAAATCTTACTGTTGCGAAAAGCGTGCATGTGTACCCTTTTCAAGCGCCGTGTTTCAAGATGCGAATCGAACCTCCAAAATCTGAGAGAAGTGAACTATGCATGGCTGGAGTCTGAGCATGACCAACTTAAGGGGAGACGCTCCTCGAAAGCACTTTTTTTTTTGTTATTCAACTTAGAGCTTCAGAAATTGGACCACTGATGCAGTTTTTCCTCCTGATTCCAAATCTGTAATCAGTTTTTACATAAGTGCAATAGTTTGGGAGTTGTGTTTCAAGTAATGGTGAAACTTGATAAGTTTTCCGGGAACTTTCGCGCATACTAAATGTTCATGCAGAGAGTTGTTCAATGGCTCCTTTTGCTCCCTATTAGCCATAGAGTGCCGATATCTAGCTAGAAATTGTGCTCCAACTTTGAAACTATGAAAAAAACATCTGTGTAGCAAACTACCCTTTTTTTTCCACTCGACCACCATTAAATTTATTAATAGATATTTACAGCTGATAGGTTGTGCTGATTCAAGTAGATATCGGCACCCTACGCACTCTCCTCAATGTGTGTGCCAAATTTCGTCGTCGTATGACCATTCTAAGTGCCCGAAACACTTCCCGCAAAAAATGCAAATTGGCCAAAATTGC